AAAAAATATATTATTGTCTCATTCTAATGAATGGGGACAATAAAATGAATTATCATAAAAAAAAAAAAATTAATCGGAGTAGTAAACGGGGCAAGGGTCTCGTCCCGTTGTCATCCCTACCTTCCTTTGCTCCCTTACCTTCATCTCCTTCTCCTACTACTCCTATTCTCCCAATTTTGCCTGGCCTTGGATTGGAGTTTGGGGATAGGAATGTGTGATACAACGATAGGAAAGATGAAAATAAGTTTATTTTATTTTTAAAAAAATTAAGTTATAGTTATTCAAGATAACTAGATAAGGATAAGATCATACTTTTCAAACAAATCTAAAACTTTTAATGGTTTGTTGAAGCGAAACCGTCCATTAAAGACTCAAGTAGTCAAGTTCTACAAGAAACTTACTCATGCAATATCGTTAGATAATAAGTTTTTAAGCAAGTTAATTAAGTCAAATTCTGAAGTACAAATCTACTTCATTTTAGATTATTAATGCTATCTAACACTCATGATACTATAATATTAGTTTAGATGACAATCAATGATAGACTCGTCGTTTAATGTTACTTGGACTAGTGTGTAAGGCACTAATGCTAATAGCTAGCATTACTCTTTCTATATCGTATTGACTACACTTTGATTATTAACTCATATTTCTTGGAGTATACATCATGCATTCAAACACGGCTCTTCCATGTTGCAATTAATATATGCTTAAAGACATTCAAAAAAAGTCATGGAATCGAAAGAAGAAAGATATAAAGGCATAGAGAAAAGTGCGTAAAATGACTACTTGTTCTAGAAAGTGAACTATTTATTGTCTTTTTATGGGTAACTTATTCCATTTCCCTTCGTTTTCATAATTTTTTTCTGCAAAAAACGTGCTCAACTTGTTTAACAATTCTATATAAACGTGGAATGCTTTTGTTTGATAAGTAGTCGGTGACAATACGGAATGTAAAATATTTTATCAATTTTAATGGTGTTTTGAGAACGATGGTGTCTCCCAAAAAATGAACTTTTGCTTTTCCCTATGTTTGTTGTCACTTTATTGCCCAGCCCAAAGCCATTTTGGAGTCAAAGATTCAAGTTTTTGGTTGGAAATATGCATCAATGCACTTAACATGCTTTCAATAAAGAAAATATTGTAGCAGGTTTTTCGTGTATCATATAGTGGTTCTCGTGTGTTCTTATGTGATGTCTCTTGTCAAACAATTAACTTAAATAATTGAGTTTACCTTTTCTTTAATAATTTTAATTTTTACAGAAAGTGATTCGATATTGTATCAAATAAATAAATATTTTGAAATCTGAATTTTAGTATCGTGTCAATGTCACTCGTAAAAATAGTGCATAGGTTAAGATTTTGATAAAATATTTCACAATGTTCGGTAATCAAAAGACTTGTAACAAACAAAATTTAGATTTTTGTTGTTCATAAATGAAATTTTAATTTTGATAAACTTGATATGCATCTCTAGGATAAGAGGGTCGTACACGTGTATCTAGACTTTTAAACCCGTAAATAGTAATTATTTGAGCGAATTTTCATCATTTAGTGTGTGTGTAAATAATGATTTTAT